GGAGGACTTTTGTTCGGGAATTTTTTAGTTTTATGTGTTCTTTCCTTGAGTGAAGAGAGAGATATTCGGAACACATTTTTTTGGTAACAGAATGTTTGGAGGTTCATTCTGATATAGTTTGAGGGATTCGAACTAGAAAATCCACAAGGGAGTTGTGGTCAGATAAGTAGTTGTGTGGATCATTATTCAAGTAGAGTGTAGAGAGAGTCTATAATGTAAATCCTTGAATGATGTACGAGTTGTTCACATTAATGAAAGAGATCTGAAGGGAGAGTGGGACGCTCTCCTGATGGTTCAGTTCTTAGTGAAAACTGCTTCCGCAATTGTTTGAATCTTCGTCACTGTCTGTTTGTTCTTTTTACGTGCAACTCTGGATACTTGGTGTACTAGTATCAAATTTCAGTTCACAGTTCTGCAAATTTCCTTTCAATAATATTTTCCCTTCGAATATTGTCGCTGATTTCGCTGGGAAAACTCTGTTCACGGACATTAATAGTTTATCCATGCAATATGTTGTTTTGTTTTGACATATGAATCATGATTAAACAAACACGTACTTGACAGAAGAAAAAATATTTATTATTACTGCAGTCAGTCCAACAAAATAAGCCAAACAACTTTTGATTACATGTCCAGTGGATTCTAAGGGTCGAGATCGATGACTTCCAAGTTTGGTGGTGGCTGATGGATCCGATCATCACCGTCATCGTCTATTTCTTCCTCCCAGATTGGGTCGTCAACCGAAGCATCAGACCCACCCTCCAAGTCTATCGCTGCTGTGTTGCGCTCCGTAAAAACCTCGTAACACTCACCATAACAAGGGAATCCTTCCGAACGGAAAAATGCCTGAGTGTCGGTCTCCTGTGTAATAAATTTAAATCTTTATAGGTTATTATGGCCGCGTCACAAAAATGCATGCTTGAACAAACTAAAATAAAAAATCAAATGCAATTTACCTCCTCCTCCACATACACCTAGTACATGTGGTTAACCCTAGCAAAGCCTGTATCACGACACAAGAGGACGCCTGGAATTCTCAGGAAAGAAGTAAATTCATCGAAATAATTTCTGAGCCGCTGAATCTTTCACCGGACTTGGGAAATAGTAAACTCCCTCTTAAATGCATAACTCAGGCATTAGTTCAGGGCTATTGAAATTTCTGCCCACAAGGAATTGAACACATGGCGTTTCTGTATGTCTGCCTTCTGACGACACCATTTGAAAAACTTGGTAGCAAATACGTTCCTCCTCCTCTGTCCAGTCCATGCCACGGAAGCGGATCACGATCTTTTCATAGGGTGAAATCCTTTCTATTTTTTTTTTCGCAAACGTGCGCCTCCTTGGTTTTTTTTTTGGCTGTGATGGAAAGATAGGGTTTTGAGAAGTGAAAGGTCGCCTCTTCAACAAAGAGAATGAAAGGTTAATAAATACAGATAACATACATCAACTCAACAACTAAATGAGGAAGCATGCAAATCGTCATAGTTTTTTAGGTGTAAAAGCAGACAATCAATCAATGCGGTGCGTAACTTATGTGAACAATATGCAAAGCATTTTCGATTTGGATATGCATTGCAGACAATAAATCAATGCGGTGCATAACGTATGCGAATATTATGCGATGCACTTTCGATTTTGATATGCGGTGCACACAATCAATCAATGCGGTCCACATGGATATGCGAAAAAATGGCGGATAGTCGTAAATTATGCGACTTTCGATTTGGATATACGATTCATTAATTATGCGGTTGAAGACTAGGCAAATCATTCCAGTTGTGTGATTATTATGGGATATGAGATGAAAATCGCACAATCAACCCAATTGTGCGATTATTATGTGACATGTTATGCGAATCGCACAATCAACCAAATTGTGCGATTATTATGGGACATGTTATGCGAATCACACAATCAACCTAATTGTGCGATTATTATGGGACATGTTATGCGAATCACGCAATCAACTCAGTTGTGCGATTATTATGGGACATGTGTGAATGTCAACCCAATTCCGATTTTGATAATTGTATCGGGATTACGAACATTTGCTTCTCATTGACCTCTTTGTTTTCTTCGCCTGAATCATCATTGTGCGTGTTGGTTTGGACATCATTATTGTCATCGTCACGAGAATGACCTGGTTGGTTCAAACAACCCGCGGTTTGATCATCAGCGCCCCGAGGATTTCCAGTATGTGTAAATGAACTAGGGCCTGCTTGATGTGAATATGTGGCCTCGTGGGAAAATGCAGAACTACCAACACCAAAAGAACTCGGAAATACACCTTGGGACGCCATCATTTGCGTGAAACTTTGTTGCGCCGTCCCCGGAATCCCTACATTACTCGCTTCTCCAACTCCACGTAAATGTTGTGATTTCTTTGTTCTTGAATCCAGTGAGATCAATCAGCTCTAAGATATCTCACTGGATTCGATTTTCATCTTCACAACTTGTTCCCTTCCATCAAATACTGCCCACAATATGTACTCAAAATTACAAGGATCGGCCTTCAATAATGATTGAGCAC